TTAGTAATTGATGCATATATATGTGAAATGGTGCTGTGGACGCACAAGTGAGTATCAGGTGAGTTTATATTGTTCATATGATTTATTGATGATGTGAATTGTGTTGAGAGCTCATAACCTGCACCATTGGTGTTAGTGCTTATATTATTCACCCCGCACCACACGCTCACCTTGGATCCAAGTAAGTGCATGTCGTACAGACCAAGAGTTGGTTCCGACATGTCGTACAGACTATAGAGTGGTTCCGACTGTAGGTGATTTTAGATTATTATACAGCTGTTGATGAGAGAAGCACTAGAGCGTATTCTTACACCTTTCTTATCGTACAGACTACTTCAGGTAGTTCCGATTTATGTGCAGAGTAGCGCCGTACAGGTCACTGCGGTGACTCCGGTTAGATGGGATATTGAGCTTTAGAATTAACCGTACATGACCAACTACAAGGTTTTCGGTTGATTCATTATTTCACCTATTATATTGATGCATCCTTATTCTGTTATTGACATTTATAGCATGGCATACTTTCTGATTTTTGATAAAGAATTGTGATTTGAGATATATGAAGATTATATGCATATTATGTTATTTTCTGGGAAAGTATACAAGTTTTATAGCGAGGGGTTAGAAATGTTATGCTCTGAATATGTGTGTTTCACACTGAAATTCACTCTAGCATGCTAGTTGGATATTATTGCTAGTATTTGGTTTTATTTCTTCTTAATTCTCTTACCTATTGCTTCCGCGTGGCACTTTTGGTTACGTCACACTCACGTGACGGTCAGCACGCCTTGATTCTAGGATCGGGGTGTGTCAGTGTAGATCACGTTGGTATATTCAAACATCCCAATTGAGCAATGTATGAGAAGTTTTTAGCTAGTATTGGTTATGTGCTTTAAATAACGTTTATTCAGTTATTTCGCATATAAGTGAAACCTATCCCGAGGATGAACGCAGTCAAGGTCAACTTGGGGGCTACGACCCTTCGACATACCAGTAAGTGGGCTTTTGATTTCCAGTATATATTTATATACTTGATATTTCCCAGAAAACGTGTTTAAACAAAAGTATGCTTTGAAATGCCATGCATATAAATTTATATTCAGCATATGAATTAGTATATGATGTATAATATGAATTGGTGTTGTGGACGCTCAGGTAAGTACCAGGTGAGTCATGTTTTATTATATGAGATATTTATAATATGAGATGTGATTGAAAGATCATAAACTTGCACCCAGGGTGATTGTGATTTAGCCAAAGATATGGTACAAGTTTGTTTATAATGTCACCTCCCGCACCCTATGCTCACATTGGATCCAATTTAGGTGCACAGTCTTGTTGTATAGACCATCATAGGTGGTTCCGACTTGTAGGTGACTAGCGATTTATCGCATAGCTATCATGAGTGCGTAGGATTGAGCATAACTATATTACACCTAGTCTTGTCGTACAGACCCTTACAGTGGTTCCGACTCGTGTGCAGTGTAGTACCGTATAGGTCACTTGTAGTGACTTCGACTAGATTGATTAATGAGCTATGAATTCAACCGTACATACTTCTGCAGGGGTTCCGGCTAATATGTTATTTTCCATGAATTTATTTTCACCTGAGTTACTTATTATGTTTTATATTTTTGGCATGGCATACTTATGATTATGGATATGTGAAGCATGATTTGATATATATATATTTACATTCCATTTCTGGGAAAATTATAAATGTTTTACGGCGAGGGGTTATAGCATTTGATAAATGAAATGATTTTGAAAAGCTTTGTTTTTCCCCACTCACACTTTTTGTTTTGCGCTCCTCCAGGTTTTAGGTAGACTTGCTGTTGGTGGCATTTGTGGATCTTGGCGGTTCTCGTAGGACTTCTTCTGGTGCTGTATAAGTAGTACTTGTCCTACTGGATTGCACCTAGACTTCTATGCTCTGATTAGGTGTATTTACACTTGTATCTCATTCCTGGCACTTTTTGCTTATTAGTGCACATTAATTAGCTTTCGGTTCTTATTTATTTGTATATTTCATATCCTTATTGCTTCCGCACTATGCACATGGCTACGTCACCCTCACGTGACGGCCAACTCGCCTTGATTTTAGGTCGGGGTGTGTCAATGCATCGAACTACATTTCTTCTTAATATAGGTAAATTATTTTCCATGTATTAGTACATATGTTAGGCACGTTTTGTTGTTGGTATAAACATTATTTTGCATCATTGTAAAAAAGAGATATTATATTACACCCATGGTATAATTGTTGTAGGTAAATTAATGTGCATGTAGATAATGAAATACAATGTTCTAATATATTAATAAAAAAAGGATAAATTGAAAAGTATTCAAGAGTATGGTGAAAAAAACTGAATAGAATAGTTTTATGAAAATTCAAAGCCGTTCTAAAAAATTAATATGCAATACATTTTTAACATTAATGTCTTTTTTTTTTCTTGTTGCAAAATCATTTACTCTCTGTTGGAAATGTGCCCTAAAACCAATCATGTGATGATACTTTATGGACATTTCACATGTTAAACTAATCTAGTTTAATATAAAGGGCAAAGATTATTGTTTGAGCCGTCTCATATAAATGTTATATGCTTAAACGATAAAGTCCAAGGAATATGTGATTGGAAGAATGTAATCTAATGAAGTTAGATTCATGAGACCATTCTTTCGTAGACACATCCTAAATGTTCCTGATCATAGGATTGCCAATTGGGCATTGACAGTCCGTCAAGATCGGTACGTGCTATGTCTTCTCTCAGGGAGAGTGACTAGTCTCGAGTCATTGGTGTGTGTGACATCAAGACAAGTACGTAGGTGCTCAGTAAAGAATGAGTTCACTGAACGTGATCAACGAAGAGTTCTCATACTCATGTCACATGAGAACTCATGTTTGGGATAATGCAAATTCCTTTGACCTGAGGCATCACAGTTGTCTTGTGGTTAAGTCCTTGATCTTTGATTATGTCAAAGTCACCCTATCGAGGTGTCCACGGCATCGTTGGGGTTAAGCCACTTAGTCATGGAGGCAAGTGAATGCGCAACAAGGGATCTCTAACCTTCAAACCGTTTGAGGGAGAATATTCTATGATATGATTTAGAATCTCTGGCCAGAGTATGAATGAGATTTAGGAATGCGTTCCAAATCACATTCAAAGTAATCATATAAGCACATGAATCACATTGGATAGTAGACATGAATAAATAAACTATCAAACCAAACAATGTGGTCAAGAGTATTGTATTAGAGAAAGACCGTATTGCATTTGTAATCCCAAACTGAATAGGTTTTCTCTACCTTTTCTGATTAGCTTGGGTAACCATGATATGCTGCAAGGTGTCACTCATGGTTTGTGGAAGCCCTAAACGTGTATAATCACTAAAGGGAGAATTGAAAGTAAGTTTCAATTCACAATCGATTTGAAATGGTTTTAATCGCCCACTGCCTCGCTAAAAGGAACCTAATGGATCGCACACCATAAGAGGTGGAGATTGGAGATTAAACGGAGATGAGTAAGAATGATTAAATGGTTTAATCATTTATTTATGGCAAGGATTAATTAATATGTTAATTAATCAAACGAATAAGTTCGTTAAAAGACCTCGGGATAGTTTTGGACGTTTAGGCCCAATGGGCTTCGAACGTCAAGCCCATTGACTTAGGTTGTATGACAACTAAATGAATAAAGATTCACAAGGGCATAATAGCCCAATAATATCCCAATGGCCGGCCATGATGTTTAGGGTAGTGAACTTGGACTTATTTACAAGTTTGCCACTCAAATGAATAAAGGTATAAAAATGACTTTATAGCCAAAATTCATAAAAGGGTTTTCTTTTAGAGAAAATTGGTGAGAACTTGTCTCTCCATTTTCTCTCTAGGAGGCCGGCCCCTTGGGGGGTGCATCTTGCAATCCCACTACTCCAAGGTCACTCATTTCTTCTCCAATCTCTCCTTGGTGAAGAGACTTAGAGGTTCTCAATTTTGGGAACTTGGAGAAACCTATTCTTCCATCCAAATCCACAGATTTAAGATGCAAGGAATGAAGGCCCTCTCTTTGGGTGATTAGCCTTTGCTTATGCAAAGAGGAATCTACAAAGGTACAATTTCAACTCACTTTGTTTTGAGTTGAGTTTTGGTTCACCAATCTACTAGGCTTTGAATTTCTTGGTTAATGTTTTGTTTTTAAGTGCATGCTAGCATGATTCCGCCTTTAATTGTTAATTGCATGCTTATTGATGTTGCTTAAATGAACTTGTTTTCACAAAATAATCCTTCACTCTCTCCTTACAATTAATTGTCTACATCAAATATGTAATAGGGGTATTTTAGGCATGTGAAAAATGTAAAATGTGTGAAGTAATATGAAATTAATGAATTTGCTTATGTGGATCCTAGTCATTGGGTTTTCTTTGAGTAAAAAAGTTATGTAGGGTTTTATGAAGAAAATTGAGTTGGAAGGGCTAAAATCATATTTTCAGAAAAATAAATAAATAAAGATATGTGTAAGTTTTGTCTACATGTCTTTGTTCCATTGGTGTAGTACGCTTCGTGACATTGCATTCGTATCATGTAAGGTATTCTACATTAAACAATTCTCGGAAGAGTATTCTCTGTCTATTCAACTTTTGGAGGTATTGATTCTAGTAGTAGTAGTTGCCTTAAGGAGATGCCAGCCCCACACACTACAAGAAAATTAAGTGAACAAAAGTCACCATTTTATGAGACATTTAAGGATTTGTTGCAATTGCTCATCTGATGGAGTGGAAGTACTAGTATGAGATAGGTGAAGAGAATTTTCCTTTTCAAAATTTTTAATTGTTTTTTATTATTTTCAGATCATATGATTAATAAATGGTTTTCTATTTCAAAATTTTAATTAATCAATAACTGTCAATTTGCTCAATACCTCCGGATCAGTAAACAGTTTTCAAATTAAATAAATAATTCTCAAATGACGATAAAAAAAAAAATTTAATAATGTAGATGGTGAAATAATGTCACGTCATAGTGACTCCTTACATATTAGGAGCCAAGTATCATACATGAGACCCCACTAGTGTTCCTTTTCCTTACAAAACAACTTCATTATTTATTTTTGGGGTTCGGCAAAACATATAAAAAATCACAATTACAGTCACTTACAACAATTGATGTTTTCATATCTCCCAAAACATTCACAACTTACTCATGTCTCATATAAAATCACACTGGTGAAGCTACCTGTGAGTAACAACACTAGCAGTGGTTTGAACGCTGTTCCTCCCGTTAGTGTAGCTTAAGCATTAAAGATGTAATATCAATCATAATTTAAATATATAAACAAACCAAAGCAATCTCAAACTTTCCAACCCAGTTCACGTGGGCCGCTATTTTTGTTAGTGACGAGTGCAGGCCCAGCACTCGAACGCAGCGACTTGGCCCAATCAAACTTCTTGGTATTTGAAGCCATCTTTGTAACTTGTTGATAACTTCTCTCTGATATTCCTGAACTAGTCCAATTAGGGCAACCCCTTTCAGGTGCTGGTTTTTTAGTCTCTTTAATTTCAATCTTGGTTCCTCCTTCCATTTTTATGTTAATATTAACCTCACAAAATGCTTTGTTATTGTTACTCCTTCTTCCATTTGTAGCAGCACTTCTTCTTTCCTTTTGGTGTTGATAGAGCCTCTGCAATCTCAGAGCAAGATGGCAAATCCCATCTTTGATTTCTTCCTCCAAGTTTTTTTCGATCTCCATTTCAACCTCACTTCGAATCTTCAGCTCTTCTTCTGATATAGCCCCGGCGAATCCCTTCTTTTTGTTAGGTGGTTCCTCCCATCGATCATCATCGTTCAGATTTAACTACACCATAATACAACGATAGGTTAACATACCAAACAAAGACTACTACTATTCTCTTGTTCAGACTTGCCAAACTAAAATGAACGGTGTTTTTCTGGATAGAATCAAAATGACTCTTAATGATATCCATATATGTGATACTGTAACATAAGCAGCTTATATTGCTAGACAATCCGATAAGATAATATTTCCTATCAAATTAATGTACTAAAAATTAACCAAACAATAACAAACAAAGGAAAGATTAGTTGTGTATGTGTCACCAGCCAATTATTGGTGTCGTTGATTAAATTTGTAGCCTCGCCGGAATCCAAAACTGAAAAATCTGCAAAATCCCACATAACGATAACATATGAAGCTGAAAAACGAAGATTTTGCATGCCAACTTATTACTATAATCTGGGAGCTGATCAAAAGTACCTAATATATCTTGTGCTTTGTTGCATTTTCCTTGCTGGTCCATCAATTGTACTTTATGCTATTTCCTTCACATGTCTTCTTGTGCTTCAAAACCGACCCATTTTTAAACCCTAGGAGAGAGATTAAGACTGCTGGGAATGGGACCTCTGCTATGGTCGTTTATGGTTGGAACGAAGATGACATGACTGGGTGGTCTAGTTCCAAATGACCGTTAGAGACGTTATTTCGGTTAATATATTCATATTTAGGCGCCAAATATCTCAGCCCAAATTAAAAGTTATTGGGAATTATTTGGTTATGTTTGGACTAAGAAAAGAAAGATTGTTTCCTGAGAATTCAATAGTACTTTACTTGGAAGGAAACAAAAGTTTAGGTTGGCCTTGAAGCATAATTAATCCAGTCATACATGACGGGACTATCTATGGATAGTTACCCTTCCCGTGGGCAAATTGTTGGAAAATATTAGTATTTTGGTTTATTTGAATGTTTGGATTTTTGGTCTTAGCCCATTAGTATTAAGGTTTCGGTTTCTTACATTTTAGGGTTAGGGTTAGTTTATTATAAATAGCATGCTTGTTATTTAGTTTAGAACAAATCATTTACAATGTAGCCTCTTAAGGTTTTGTAGCCGTTCGGGCATTCTAGTTTGTTTAATAATATTCCTATTATTTTTGTTAATCTCGTTTATTGCGCACTCTGATATTTAACTTAGTATCAGAGCAGGTTTGATCCTTCGGGATTTAATCTGTCCTTGATTCGTATAGGCTTCTTAGACTCTTAGTTTTGAATTCGACCCGTAGTGCCTAAATGTTGCAAACAACTAATCCATTTTTTATTTTTTATTAAGGACAAGTAATAAATGGCTGCGAACATAAATCAACAATTAAATGTACGTAGATCAAACCTAATTAGCAAGAGGCTTGTAGCTCATCTTATCTACATGGATGGTGTATAAGGTGTGGAGCTCGTGGAGCTTGCATAAATTGAGCAATTGTATTGACGACAATTTCAGGGCGTGTAAGAGTGAGGTACTGCAAGTTACCAACTATTGATTTCCCTTGATTGATTTGAGTGTGAAGAATGCATTATAAAGATGACAATGACTCTTCATATTTGAAGATACAAAGAATACTTCCAATTGCTAAATACACTGAATAAGAATAAATAAAGAACTATACAATTAATTACAATCATCGTTGGGTTTTATAATGACTTGGAAAGATAGCTAACAGATGGATAGCCAGTCAAGTCAAATCCAAACGTTTTATTCGGTTAAAGGAGTTTACGACCTAATTAAGTGGTTGAGAGTCACTTTTTATTTACCTATCCACACAAGGTCTAGGTTTGATTTCCTATTTCTCATTAGTCAGGTGAACAGGCTTTACTGGTCAAGTTGTCCAGTTAGGTTTGTCTTTTCACGAAAATAAGTGTCTTTTTACTTAAGTCTAATTCAGATTCAATTTGAATTTCGCACGATTCGCTAATCAGAACCAAAAAAAAAAAAATTGTTAATTTAGCTTGTATGTTCCTCGTATAATTCATAGTTTCCCAACCCTAACACTTCCCTTTCTTGTCATCTCCTCGTAGGTCCTCTCCCTCATCATTTCTCTTCCTTCTTCATCTCCTCGTCCGTTCATATCTCTATGGCCCTTGCCACTCTTTTCTCCATCTCCTCATCTTCCATGCTTCCGCCCTTGGATGCTGCTCCACCTGCCTAACAGGCTCATATCAGATAAAATTGAAAGCAAATTTAACCTGCTAGCTAGCTAGTTTTGACGTAGTTTGGTTTTCTAACAATCATGATTTTGTCAGAGAACCAATTTAATTTGACCATTTTAGGGCTACGATTCAAGTACTGATTATGTTGTTTTTTTTCTTTTTCCAAAGGATAGAATATATTAAAGACGAATCAAAAGGTTTACATCTTTAGCAAGGGCATTAAACAAAAAAACTGGGCCAATACAATCTCAGATAATGTCTCGACCTTCCTTGAACACGTACTTAGCCACCAAGTGAGCAGCATGATTGCTCTCCCTAGGCACAAACGCGAACGTCACCGACGTCAACTTTTGCGCTAGAATCTCAATATCGCCAAGAACACAATCCAAGGTACAGTCAACAGGCACTTCCTTCCTGATCATTTGAATAATCAGCTTAGCATCAGATTCAACAACAACATGATTGAATCTATGGATAATACAGGCCTTCAAAGCAGTGCGGATCGCAATTGCTTCGGCCGCTGCTGCGCTATGGCATAGCACAGTACCCAAACCGCCCGCAGCTTGGAGTACCCCAGCAAAATCACGCCCCACCCAACCCACACCAGCACGGAGAGTATCCTTACACCAAGCCGCGTCCGTGTTGATCTTAATGGTCCCGTACCTTGGTCTTTGCCAGTGAAGGCTAGGACGGGCAGCAGCAGAGAGGGGGCCGACTTCCTTGGCCCAATCATCATCTTCCACTCTAGCTGAAGCCTCCCTAAATTCATTAATGTTCTTCCGCCATAAATCCATAACATCAAGAGGCTGGCGATTCAGCCCTTTAAAGACAACGTCGTTCTTGTTTTTCCATAGTCTCCATAATCCAAAAGCAAATTCTTGGCATATCTCATCTGCATTTTCCCTACCCTTAATACCCTCATGGAACTTTCCCCAACTATCGAGAAAATCAACTCCTTCCAATTCGTGGGAATTCAGGTGAAGAGGAGAGCAAAACCAGAATAAATGACCGAAATTACATCGGAAAAATAAGTGATTCTTCGTTTCGTCCACTGCATTGCACACACCACACACATTATCTACCCTCATGTGTCGTCTCTGGAGGTTGCGACGCACAGCCAAGGCATTACTACAACATCGCCAAATAAAGAGCTTGATTTTATTAGGGACCTACAAGCACCAAATCCTGGACCAAACTTTGTTTAGCTGCAGATGCTCACTAGGGGCACCCCGTCCCTTCTTTCCCAAAGCTCAATTTTCCAACAATTCCATTGCTACCCCATATCCGGATTTCACGGAATATACCCCATTCACAGATTGGTGCCACACCAATCTGTCTTCACAACCAAAATGACTTAGCGGAATACTAAGAATAGTGTCAGCGTCCTCCCAGTGAAAACCTGCAAAAATGATGTTAGCCTTCCAAGAGTTTGAGGCCGGATCAATTAAATCGCAAACCATGGTGGCATCCAGGTTTTCAATAGGACGAACTCGAAAGGTTGAGGGTTTAGGGAACCATGGGTCTTCTCTGATATTTATGCATTCTCCATTGTCGACCCTCCATCTAATCCCCTTCTGCAGGACCTTCCTGGCTTCAAAAATACCTTTCCATCCCCAAGAAGTGTTCTTTCCTCTCCCTGCTTCTTTAAAGGATCTCCCAGGATGGTATTTGTCTTTCAGAACTGTAGCTAACAGGGACGTCGAATTGCAAGTTAATCTCCATCCAATTTTTGCTAGCAATGCCAAGTTGAAGCACTGAATATCCTTAAAACCCAGGCCTCCTGACTTCTTTTGTTTCGATATCCGTTCCCAGGAAACCTAATGAACACCTTTGCGTTGTTCGTTGCCTTTCCACCAGAAATTCCGAATGGCTTTCTCCATATCCTTGCAAACTCTAATAGGGAGCTTAAAACAGCTCATGGCATAATTCGGTAAAGCCATGGCCACGCTTTTGATCAAGACTTCCTTTCCAGCTTGAGATAAGAATTGTTCAGTCCATCCAGCCAGCCGAGCTTCCACCTTATCACGAACCTCCGTAAAAACAGCTTTTTTGGAGTGACCGAAGTCTGCCTGCAGCCCTAAATACTTCCCAAAACCCTGCTTGCATTGGATCCCCAACGTTTCCTCAATTTCCATCTTTGTACGATTAGAGGTTTTAGGGCTAAAGAACACCGAACTCTTAGTTAAGTTGATTTCTTGACCAGATCCGCGAGCATAAACCTTCAGAGCTTCAACAACAGCTCGCGCATCATCCATTGTGGCGTTGCCGAACACTACCGAATCATCAGTAAAGAAAAGATGGGTAAGCGGGGTTCCATTAGGCGTGAACTTGAAGCCATGAAGAGCACCTTGTTCAAGCCCCTTCCTGAGTAACATTGAAAGACCTTCAGTGCAAAGGAGAAATAAGAAGGGAGAGAGGGGATCTCCCTGTCTCAAACCTTTCTGCGGCACGATGCAACCGGTCGGGGTTCCATTAACCAAAATGCTGAAAGAGACAGTGGAGATACATGCCTTTATCCACTTACAAAATAGAGGCGCGAAACCCATCTTAGACATTATGGTAGTGAGGAAGTCTCACTCGACCCGATCATAGGCTTTAGCCATGTCAAGTTTAATAGCCATACCAGCCTGATCCTCCCTCCTTTGATGAAGCAAGGAATAAAGGACTTCGTGAACCACAAGAATATTATCCTGGATTTGTTTTCCAGCTACAAAGGCAGATTGATTATCCCCAATCACTTTAGGCATCACCACTTTTAGCCTATTGGTGAGAACCTTAGCAAGGATCTTGTAAATTACGTTACACAGAGCAATGGGCCTATATTGTGCCATGTTCTTAGGGCATCTCACTTTTGCGATGAGTACTAAATTGGTATGGTTTAGCTTTCGTAGCAGAGTACCTGAATGCCAAAAAGCTTTAATGATCTTAACAACGTCCTCTCCCACAGTATTCCAGTGGTCTTGATAAAAGCATCCAGAGAACCCATCAAGTCCCGGGGCCCGAGAAGGAGGTATTTGAGAGACAGCCAATACTATTTCTGCGGTAGTTACCGGGGTAGTCAGTACGTTGTTGTCCTCAGGTGTGATCCTGGCTTCCACGTTTCTCACAATATCATCAATTTGACTCGGTCTAGAAGATTGAAACAATTTAGCAAAATAGGCAATAGCCGTTTCATTTATCTCCTTGTCCTCCTCGTGCCACTCCCCGTGGGAATCTTCAATCCCCCGGATAAGATTAAGCCTTCGTCTTTTCAGTGTCTGCGCATGAAAGAACTTGGTGTTCTTATCGTCCTCTTTAAGCCATTGATTTCTAGACTTAACTTTCCAGTAGACCCCTTCATCCTTGTGGGCAGCTCTGAGATCTCTCTCTTTTTGCTTAAACGCCTCAGAGGAGAATTCCTTAGACTGAA